CCCCAAAACCCCAAAACCCCAAAACCCCAAAACCCCTAGCTATCAAATTGTGTTGAAGATATTTTATGAACTTGTTGTCAAATACAACATGGATGCTCAACAGCCTTCATTATACCCTGGTTAGGAATCCAGATGGGTCGAAACAGCACTCGTTGCTGAAATAGCTCACTATCATGTCTTGCACTGTAGCCTTATTGTAGTTAAAGTTGGTGGTAGCTTGCAGTCAGTTGAGTCCAATGGCGTAGAAGTCGTGGACAATAGCTGCTTCTTTCTCGTCACTATAAGTTCCAATGTATTTCTTCTTTCCACAAACATTGATCAGCACTTGCCAGCGGCTGCCATTAGCGAGCACTCCAATGTACTGAGATCTTCTCCTCGAGGTTCCATTGTGGAGGCCTCTGGAGCTCTTGGTGGTTGCAGTGAAGCTCACTTCTTGGTTGGAGTTGATCATCTCGAGGATAGTGGTGAGGTTCTTAGAAATGTTTGGTTGCGACTTCTTTCTACTCTTTCTGCTCTTTGTGTCTTTATTAGTCTTACTGCTTGATTGCTTCTCAGGAGACCTGTATTGGGTGTCACACAGCAAGCTGAGGTCTCCAATAGTGGTCTTTCTGTTAACTGATTCACCTGGTTGATCTAGTCTAAGCTGTGGTGACTTTGGAGGCTGACAACCCCAACAAAGCTGGTTAGATATTTCAGAGAGAGCTTTGTCAAGAGCTTCGTAATATGTCTAAAGAGAGCTTAGTTTAGACAAGGTTAAGAAATCTCGACTTACCATTGGCATAACCTGGATGTTTGTCAAGTTTGATGAGTAATTAGTGAACATTTCCTTTATTAATTATATTCGGATTTGGTAGTTTTTATATATCATCCTTGTCCTCAGTATCCTGATTTAGAAGATACGACAATTAGCTTTATACCAACTCCGATCAAATTTATACATCAAAGAATACTTTTGAGTAATAGAAATGAACATGCATGTTTATTTTATCAGCACTCATTTCTCTCTCATATTTTATTCCAATAAATATTCAGGTAAAACTGTAAAGCTATTTTTATGAAAAAATGAATTTTGATTTTCGATAGGACACAATTTCGAATAAATGGATAAACTATTTTAATTTTCACTTCCAAGTAACACATCAATTTTTTAATCTAAACCAGTGACTAATGGAATAATTAGAAGACTATCTACTTATTGATAGAGAGAATCTGCTTAATTTGTCTAGAAAAATAGCAAGCTGAAATAAGAATTCTCAAAGATATGTAACCAAGATATGATATCGCGTAGAATTTTCGTAACTATAAATCTGTTGGTTCTGTACTATTTAGAGAAGTATTCATCTCCGTATCAACTCTATAATTTAATGAAAAAGTCAATGATAAGAATCATATAATCTTTGAGCTTGTTCACTATCTTTAAACTTCTCTTATGCTACCAATTTTGCACTAGACGATCATTTCAGCTCTGGTACATTATTTGAAATAAGCTCTCAATAGTTTAGAATTTTTGGCAAACAACTCTAGGTGACCCAAATGGTAAAGTATTACAAATGACACACCTGTGCCTTTTTACAAGTGTGTAATTTCTAAGAGAGAAACCCTCAGACTCTCTCATTATCCATAACTATAGCCCCAACACCATCTACAACTCCCAGTTTATTCTTTGGCTAGTATTTCTTCCCAGGATTGCTCCCCTACAGTAAAACTTTGCATAATTTTTTTAAGGAATAAATAGATTCATTCCTAAGAAACTTGCTAATTTTCATTAAGAGGAGGCATCAAATCTATAATGGTGGGTTTACCATCAAAATAAGATGAATAAGGGAATTCGTATCTTGGTAAAGATGGTTTGACATAATTCTCAAACACTCCTTAATATGCGAGGCTTCTTGGCAAGCATGCCAGGAGCTGAAACTTCTGGTGATGCCTAATCTTGTTACAAGAGCACCCAGAAATATTGCAATGAAGTACAAGATTCTCTTAGCTCATCTTTGGCGTTTTTTAAGGCTTCAATGAAGAAAGAATAATATAAGTCTAGATTTTATCGCAGATTACTCCTGACTCTAATTTCGCAAAAAGTGTGCTCCTTTTCAAGATTTCGGAGATTTATATGCAAACTTTCTTTAATGGTGATGGTATTAACTCAACTTATGCATGGAGCTTGTAGAACTCTCGAATTAGTCTGACATACTTCTTCTTGGGTGGGGACTTATATTAAGTTTGTACGACCTCGGTAATAACAAGTAGTAAAGATTCTAACTCTGGCCCTAACTTTTATTGAGTCTCTCCAATGAACAACTAAGGACTTAGCTAAATCTCGGATTTATGGAAAATTTTACTCCAACATTAATAAGCATCAGAGCTTTATGAAAGAAATTCTTCAAGGAAATATACAGAAAATATTAATTACTTCTAATTTTCTAGAAATAATTGAGCTTAGCAAACTGAGATGGGGTTGTTCTGATCCATAAGATAGAGAAATATCCTCTATTTAGCAACTCCAGACTGCAGGAATATGATACCCTTGTCCCTAGCTGCGATGGGAAATGAGGAAGATCTTTGAGATTCGAGGTTATTTTATGAATGTTAGTCCAAGCAAAGTTATATTATAAAATCACCATGGACATCAAATTATGCGAAGCTCGCATAATTTATGAGTAATGGTATCTTAAGAGTCATCTTAGAGCTTGAAATATTGGAGGCAATATGGAGCCTCTTAAAAGTAGGGATAGCCATTCCTTAATTATGCCTAAAGCATCCGAATGTATCAATAAAAGTAATCCAAAAATCTACATTTGGAATATTTTAATTGCTATTCAGGAATATCTTTAACAAATAAAGTCCGAATAAATGATTAATTTTTCTTATAAAATTTCTAAGAGGTCAGGACTCTTTATCTGCCTTATGTGTGTTTGCAGGAGGTCATGAAAGAACCAAGTTAAAGAGAAGAGCCCTATAAATTCTTGGACTGGAATGGCTAGGCTAGCAGGTTTGTCCTCGATAGTATAACCCTCTAAAAGTTCAACATATTGTTGGTTTTGAGATTTTTATGTCAATTCAAAATTTTAACTAGTTTGAATACTCCATATATATGATGTAAACACAATTTTACTCTTTTAAGATACAGTAGTTGGAAATATGAAGTGATAGGTTTGAGAAAATATACAGGGTGAGATTTTTAAGGACTTTACTATTGTTTAAGAGATTTTGAGTGAGGAAATAAATGTTTGGCTTATAACAAATGGAGGATATTATTAAAATTCATATATTGTAACGTTTGGTACAAAATGAGGTACCAAAATTTATTCAAACTGCTGAAAAATTAAATACCCAAAACAGCCTCCTCTTTGCTCAAAATTCCTCAAACAACTCTTCAGCCCTATCTAAACCTTAATCCTCTCTTTAACCTTCCTAACCCCTCAACCCCCGTTTAAAATATCTTCAATTTTTCCTACCCTTCAAGGGGTTTTGGGGTTTTGGGGTTTTGGGGG